GGGGGAGGAGGGGGGGGGGAGGGAATGCTAATTAACTGATACCTGCTTTTTAAAGTTGCTGCGGAGCATCTGGTGCCCTGCGTGAGGTTCCTCCCGCTGCTCGCAGGAATTAGCGAAGGATTTGGGGGGGAAACGGGGCTTTTTTCCTCCCGGAGGAGGGGAACGGTCGGGAGTGGGGAAAAAAGGGGGCGGGAGGGGATTTTTTGGGGGGGTGTGAGTGTGGGGTGGGGTGTGGGGGGTGTCCCCCACCACCACCCCCACGCCAAGTTTGCTCCAAGTCGCAGCCGTGGCCGCGGTGGCCCCGCGGGGAAGGTTTGGGTGGGGGGGGAGCTCTGCGCGGGCGCGGAGGGGGAGAGCGCACCCCGCGCAGCCCCTCACCGCGCCTCTCTCTCCGCAGGGCCGAGGAAGAGGACGAGCATTTGGAGAGGACCCTGGAGCAAAACAAAGGCAAGATGGCCAAGAAGGAAGAGAAGTGCGTCCTCCAGTGAGCGGCCTTTCCCGCAGCGGCGGCTCTTTTCTTCACGTTTTTTTTTAAAAAAAAAACAAAACAAAAAACGCCGACGTGAGACTTCGGGGGGTGGGTGGGGGGAATAAGAGGAAAAAATTAAAAAAAAAGAAAAAAGAAAAAAAAAAACGTTTTGGAAAAAAAAATATTAAACTTTTTTTTTTCTTTTTTCTTTTTTTTTAATTTTTTCCTCTTATTCCCCCCACCCACCCCCCGAAGTCTCACGTCGGCGTTTTTTGTTTTGTTTTTTTTTTAAAAAAAAAACAAAACAAAAAACGCCGACGTGAGACTTCGGGGGGTGGGTGGGGGGAATAAGAGGAAAAAATTAAAAAAAAAGAAAAAAGAAAAAAAAAAACGTTTTGGAAAAAAAAATATTAAAACTTTTTTTTTCTTTTTTTTTTTTTTTTTTCTTTTTTTTTTTCCCCCCCAATTTTCTTAGGCCAGATCTAGGCTGCGCCGGGCCCCGCTCTTGTCGTTTTTCGGGTTGTTTTTTTTTTTTTTTTTGCTGGTTTTTTTTTGGTTTTTTTTCGGTTTCCATCGAAGCCAACTCGCCTTGTCCCAGGGTTTCCTTGTGGGGCTGAGCTCTCCTGCCCGAAGGGGTTGGGATGAAACCGCCGAGGGAGCAGGGAGAAGAAACCGAGTCTGTGTGTCCTGGAGAGGAGCTGGAGGAGGAGGGCTGAGTTTGGAAATAAATACGTTTTTTGTCGTAATAGGATTAGAGAGGGGGATAGAGGGAAAAAAAGAAAAAAAAAAGGGAAAAAAATTAAAAAAAAGAGAAAAATAATCATTGGGAATGGTTTCATCTAGTCCTGCCATATGTAATACTTAATGAGCTACCTACATTTTATAGTTAGGTCAGATCCACCCCCAGTTATTATTAAAAATGTGCTGTATTTACCAGTGTTTTATTTCAGCGGTTTTACACTTCCCCGGGAGCGGAGCCGAGCTGCTTTGCGTTATTC